AGAGAGAGAGAGAGAGAGAAGAATGAGAGGATCGGTTTCTTTGCTTTTTATATTGAAGAGAATATAAGTGAGGGTATAAAAGTAATTGTGTTCCAAATTTTTTTTTTCATTAAGTTTTTTTTTTTTGGTCAAGGGTTATTTAAAGAAATTGTCACGTAGGATAGGTTATTTGAAATTGTTTTCACTTTCATCTTCACTCGTCAGCATGATAGTCCATTTGGAAATCATCTTTCACAAAAAGTTTTGCTCCAAGTAAATTGCTAAGCACATACTCTCATTATCTATCGCAACTCCTTTTTGGACTGTTTTGCCCCTAGAGATTTTTAGCCGTGTTTTTTCTTGTAATTATGTTATAATTTATAAATTATTATGTTAAAAATTGGAATTGATTTTCTTGTAAAATTTATTATTATTGTGTTAGAACTTATAAATTATTATGTTAAAATTAGAATTGATTATCTTATACAATTTATTTTTATTGTGGTATAATTTAAAATTACTACATTATAAATTTAAAATTACTACATTATAAATTAGAATTACATGTAAAATTTATTATTATTCTTATTATTATTATGTTAGAACTTAGAAATTATTACGTTATAAATTAGAATTGATTATCTTATTATATTTATCAATTCTAATTTATAACATAATAATTTCTAAATTTTAACATAATTTAAATAAAAATTTGGTAAAAAAAAGAAAACAGTCGGCCGATAATACTGGCCGCATAAGGTGGTCGTCGATGATTAGGCCAGCCGATCGCCGCCGAGCGCAGCCCCAATCATGGGCCGACTGACAACGGTCCAGCCGGTATTGCCGGCCGGCCATGTTGTTTTTTTAAATAAAAAATTGACAGTGGCAAAACGGTCTAAGGAGAGCGATGGGTAGTAAAAATTATTGCGGTGTTCAGTAACACCCAAATTTAATGGGAATATTTGTAATAGGTATCAACATTATGGAAGTCGCAGGTGAGTCGCTAGATCCTATTGCACCTAGGCAGGGGACTAAGTGAGAACATATTAATAAATTTATGAGTAAAACATTGGTTCCAAATTGTATTATACATATTTTTGAGATTTTCAATCTAAAATATTTTTTTGTAAATACATTAGTTATTTGAACGCTCGTCTACATATTGACCATACATGTATTATTTTTTGCGAATGACCGTATGATCAAGAAGTAGACGAGCGTACAAAAAATGAATGTATATGTAGTTCATGTTGCAATTTCCAAAACAAATAAAAAAAATAAAAAAATTAGGTTGAAAATCTAGAAGCACGTATAGTACATGTTGATATTATTATGATCGAATACAAAGATTATGTAAAATTCCAAGTCATTTATAATTATATTATTAATTGTGAAATAATTATTAATACTTTTGTTACATAACTAATATAAAATTCATGTGTAAAAATTAGAATTTTTTTTTAACTATTTAAAAAGTA